TTGGAGATCTGGGTGGTGGTTTCACCATTCTGGGCTTTTCTGCCAGATTTGCATTATTTTTCTGTTGAGTTGAGTTGTGCCCCCCGGCTGTCTCCTTCGGTATGAATCGGATCTGACCTGATTTCTGCGGGCCCTAGCCTCCTCAATGACCCACCTCAGATCATCAGCTGCAAGTCTGCGCCTATAGTATGTCTGAGATCTGTCCCTGGCAATGCTCCTGAGATCTGCCGCATTCACCCCAACAGACATGGTAGGGAATGGATCTGCATCAACTCCCATAGTTTCTTTGGCCTTATCTGGAAAACGCAGAATTCCCTTGTCGATTTTCTCCTGTAAAACATTCCGAAAAATCACACAATCATTAGTGGAATGTTTCCAAGAATTATGATATTTGCAATATTCTCTATTTCCAATTTCGCCAGCCATTAGGATTTTATGTCCCGGCGGCAATTTAATTAGACCACTCTTTTTAAGGTGGTCAAAAATTTCATTAGTTTTTGAAATGTCAAAGGTGTATTGTTTTCCAGCCTCTCCGACATAACGTTTTACTGTTCTGTCGGTCTGCTGGGCCACTTTAACTAAATATGGGCAAACAACTGGCTTGTCTGCCACCACTTCTGCCACGTCCAGATCAAAGTTGGCATCACCATAATAAGTCCCATGAGATGCAGATTTCCTTTGTGTGTCCTCTCGCAATAAATTCTCATAACGAGCCACCTTGTAAGACAACTCAAAGAAATCACGAAACTCCATTCCCTCAAACTTTTTCCTCAATTCAATGTCTAGACCATTTTGTGCCAGCTTGACAAATTCCTGTTCTGGCAGGGCAACTCTGCGCTTAAGTCTGGCCTTCCGAAATCTGGCCAGAAAGGCCTCAGATGTCTCTCCAGGTCGCTGCACCAGACGAGATAAATCTGCCATGGATACTTCTGGCTCACTGCGGTAGAACTGGATGTGAAAAAGATCTTCCATCTGCCTCCACGTATAAACAGAATTCTGTGGCAAACTTAGATACCAGGTGAGAGCTGTACTAGTTAAAGAACTGGGAAAAAGCCTGAGCTTCAGATTATCATCACCGGAGGCCTCGCCACACTGAATTGTGAAGCGGCCTATGTGTTCAATTGTAGAATATCCACCATCTCCGGAAAATAAAGTGAATTCTGGAACCTTGAACCCCCTTGGAAAAGGATTCTCTTGGTCTATGAAATCTGGATATGGTTTTCTGTAGGCA